GACTGCATGGGCCTTTGGCCTGATCCAACATTGGCATCTCTTATGTTCTTATGTTCACACATGCAGATATACCGCTAGATGAACACAACACTGAACCATGACTTTCTAGTATGAGTGGGCATTCAAGTTGAACACCACAAACTGAATTTTCATGTCTCATCTCAATACCTCAAGTTCAGTTCTTCTTAATGGACTCCATTCCAACAATGTGTATGCACATGCTTAAACTGACCTCAGGGCCAGTATTGGGCCCTCACAGCTTTTAAAAATTAGAATTTTGTATATTTTTATACTTTTCTTTCTCTCCCTCTTTTCCCCTTCCCCCTCTTCTTTATATAAATTAATAAAATTCTTTTAAAAATTATTTTAAAGTGGCAGCATCTCCATGGTGGACAGGAGGACACTGTTGTGTCTAGGTTGGCCCTCAGACAACATGAATTGAGGTCACATAAGGGGATGTGAAAGTCTCTTTGCCTGTTCCCCCTTATATTCTATTTCACTGGGGCCCCAAACATTTTTTGTCGTCCTTTGACTTAGGAAGTTCTCAAAACATTATTTACTCTGTCACTTAACACTCCAGCCGCTGCACATCACAACATTTGACACAGCTCAGTTCCACATATGAAACGTGTCTCCGATTATCCCTTCACGCTAGCTGGTTGTGTGGCACATTGAGGAGGGTGCAGGGATTTGGTTGGTTCCCAGCCATCAGTGGCACAGGAGGTCACCTCTTGGACCTGGCTAGTGACTCTACTGGTCCAGGTGATAATGGCTGGTACAATTTTCCTTGAACTGGCTGTGCCAACGGGATAGCTCTGGGAATACCACAATCGCACATAAAAGCGGCAGCCAACCTTTCTGTATTATACTTGCCCTTTGTTAACCAGAGGCCTACCACCTCCGGAGACTCCATGTTGTTTTAATGGCTAACAAACATTGATACAACTTTCTTTTGTGGATTTAGCCCCCTTTAAAAGACATGTAAATGTTTGACCAGCACTACATCTCATGCCAGTGAGCTTCAGAAACCAGTATGGTAGAGTGGTTAGACTGTCAGACTAGGATCTGGGACACTCAGGTTTGGATCCCTACTTGCTGCCCTGTAGGCTTGATGAGTGACCCTGGACCGGATGGTGAGGATAAAATGCGGGCAAGGGGAGCAACGTAAGCTGCTTTGGGTCCCCATTGGGAAGAAAGGCAGGCTATATAAATACATTTGTATAAAGAAGTAATTTGCTTTGTCTGCCCTGAGCGGTGCTGCCAGTCGGTTTCATTGGGTGACCCAGTGCATTGTAGTGGTTAGAATAGTGGTCAAGGACTGGGGAATCTTAGGTTCAAATCCCACTCAGCCCTGAAGCCCACTGGGTGACATTTGGCCAGTCACTTTCTGCCAGCCTAACCTGTCTCTGTGAGGGTAAAATGGAGGACAGGAAAAATATGTCCACCATTCCAAACTTCTTGGGGGAACAGTGCTGTAAAAAATTATATGGATGCTGGCTTCAAGTGGTATGAAACAGAATTTTAAAAACCACTTATCCAGGCCATTCATAATTTTATAACCCTTCCCCCCCCCAAACCTCGAATGTTTCTCCTTTGTCTTATTTCAAATGGAATGTCTTTTAGGATTCTGATAGCATTATCTCCAACTTTCAAAGGAGCTCCAGATGCCGCTTTCAAGATTGTATCCCTCACACATCTCTTCGAGAATCTTATCACTATTTCCCCAGGCAGATTGTTTTTCTTTATATATCCTGAATATGACCTGTAGGCCACATCCATATCGCTCAGCAAAGATTCTGCCTTCATCTCTGTCATTGGGGCCAATAATTCACTCATCTTCTCCTTCAGATTCTCTCCTTTAGTCTCTGGAAGGCCCTGAAAGCGAAGAATCAAATTAGCTTTTTCCATTTGTAGTTGTAACCGCTGATCTTCCATGGAGATTTGCTTCTTTTCCATCTTTTGTACTTTCTTCTTCACCTTTTGTGCAGTGGCATCCACTTCTTTCAACTGTTTGAGTCATCATTTTAAGTGTCTCACTCAACTGTGTTTGCTGGGTAATGATACATTGATTCATTGTTGACAGCTGCTGCTTGAGATTATTCATCTGGTCCAGCAGAGGGCGCATAGATTCCACCAATGTCTTTGCCAGCTTGCTGGTTGCTTCTGGTCTTAGGCTCTCAGTCCCTTTCGCTATTAAAAGTTTCTCTTTCTCCGTCCTCTTCCCCGCCATCTTTGTGGATTGTTTACTTTAACCAATATTTTAAAATTCTCTGAATATGTGCTTGTACGCTCAAACTCGCCTTGGTAAGTCTTTCTTAACAGTTTTATTCACTTTTTCTTCTGCTCCCCCCCTCCAATTTGCTTTTAAGTATGTGAGTTTGGGAGGCGTCCCTACACCGCTCGCCTCACTTTCTGTTCCGTGGGGGGTTTGGGGAGCTTTCTTTTCCTTTTATTTCAATGCTTAGATTGAACTCACGTTCATAGTAGGTCCTCAGACCTCGTTTAAGCTCCGTTTCTTTCACTCGACCTCCTGCGCTTGCCCCGGTCAGCGTCGCTTGGTTCCATTCGGTCTCATAGCACGAAGAACCTTCGGGACGAAGAGGCGCCTCAATCCCCCGGCATCGCGCCGGTGAAGAGGCAACCCCTCAAGAGTCCCATGGCCAGAGCCCCTTCAGCCGGGTCTCTGGGGGGGGGTGATGATCCTGCGCACCCCCTCCTTCGGTCAGAGCGCAGCTTCACCCCCGGGAGGTCCGGGAGGTGCGACTGCTCAGCGCGCCGCCATAAACTGGAAACTTTTCTCTTAATTTGTAATGATTTATTAGGGGTGTTAGCAGTGCACACACACACCAGCACATGTGCTGAACAAGAGCGTGCCAGATCATTCTGCTCAGCATGCAGGGCTATCTCTTGATTTGTAATGACTTATTAGGGGTGTTAGCACACACACACCAGCATATGTTCTGAACAAGAGCATGCCAGATCATTCTGCTCAGCATGCAGGGCTGGTTCTTCATTCAAAGGACTGGGCTGAACCCCTGAGATTCTTGCAGTGAAGCAGACTGGGGTCAGCTTACATGACTGGTCAAAGACAGGTGTAGATTCTTCCCTCCCTCTTTTGTTTACCAGCATCTTTACAGGAAGTCATTGTGGAAGTTTCATCACACGGGTCAAAAAGCGCTCCTATCCTTGCTTTATTGTGCACTTGAATGCTGAACAGTGGTGGTGGTGGTGGAGGAGGAAAGTGCTGTCAAGTCACAGCCAACTTACAGTGATCCCCAATAGGGTCTTCGAGGCAAGAGACAAACAGAGGTGGTTTGCCGTTGGCTGCCTCTGCAAAGCAACCTTTTGACTTCCTTGGTGGTCTCCCATCCAAGTACTAACCAGGCCTGTCCCTGCTTAGCTTCCAAGATCTGATGAGGTCATGCTAGCCTGGGGCCATCCAGGTCAGGGCTGCAAAACAGGAGTTAGGCGTAAAATAATATTTGCTGGTTTTGAGATGAAAGCAGTCATTGATCAGTATTAGTAAAATGACATTATTCTGTTCTCGTGCTCCAAGGTGCATTTGCTTGAAATGTATGCAGGCCTCCCAAACGTTTTAAACTACCAGTTTAGCAACCATCTTTGCATGCTAACCTTCCTCCAGGGAGCCCAGAGTGGGCTTATATCCTGCTTTCTCCTGTAAAGTTGTATTAGGCTGAGAGATTATATTAGGGTTGCTAGCTCTGGATGGGGAAATTCCTGGAGATTTTGGGGGTAGAGCCTGGGAAGGGGCTGGGTTTGGGGAGGAGAGAGACTTTAGTGGGGTATAATGCTGTAAACGCCAACCTCCAAGGCAGCCATTTTCCCCCAGGGGAACTGATCTCTGTTGCTTGGAGATTAATTGTAATAGTCGGGGACCTCCAGGCCCCTCCTGGAGGTTGACAACTCTATAGATTATGACTGCAGAATAAGGATTGGAACATTGGCCTCTGTGGTCTAAAAGCAGTGTTCTAGCTCCTACTCAGTGCTGTTTTGTATATGCAAGGGCACGTTAACGAAGCAGAGATATTTTCGTGGCATCCGCTTACGTACTGTTCTTGTGTGGTATAATACCAATGTTATTGTACAGTGGTGTCTGGATGTAGCTGTTGAGAGTCAGTGCGGTGTAGTGGTTAAGAGAGGGGTGTCAAACATAAGGCCCGGGTACGTAAGGAAATATAATGTACTCCCCCTTTTAGGTATCCCTTGGGGAAAACCTAGTCTTGCATATGATTAAATACAGTTACTGGGGCTTTTGTGGGCTTCCCCATAAATCAATTGCTCTCACTCCTAGGAATCAATTGCTTTTGTTTGTATTCTGGGTAAAAAATAATATCGTTAATTGGGTTTGCCTGTGTTCTTTATAAAGTTTATATCTCTGGTACCTGGCATTCCATTTTGTGGCACACATGGTCTGGCCCGACAAAGCGACATTTATCTCAGATCCAGCCCTTGTAACAAATGAGTTTGGCACCTCTGGGCTAAGAGTTTCAGACTAGGATTTGGAAGGCCCAAGTTCAAATCCCCACTTATGGCATGGAAACTCATGAGGGGACCTTGGGCCAGTCACACATTCTCAGTGTAACCTACCTCACATGATTGTTGTGAGGATAAAATGGAGGAGAGGAGAATGATGTACGTTACTTTGCATCCCCACTGGGGAGAATAGTGGGTTATAAAATAAATCAAATAAATAAATAAATAGGATGGGAATGACATTGGTCTCATCATGGCAAATGCACATTTGCTGTATTTTTGTCTAATGTTGCACAACAGTTTGTGTGCTTGAAATTAGAAACAGTGTTGTCCTACACAGAATTATACCTTCTAAGTCCACTGAAGTCAGTGGGCATAGAAGGGTGTAACTCTGCTTAGGATTCCCCTGTAAATGAGCTTTTCTATTATTTGTAGCTTTGGTAAATGAGAGATTGCCTTCAAAGTATTCCTTCTCCAACTTGTTTTGTTTGTCTTATTCTTGCTAGATCCTGATGAATTTGATAGGATATATGAGCCATTAGATGTCCAGAGCAAGAAGATACATGTTGTAGATAGTGGGCTCACATTCAACCTGCCCTATCCACTTATCTTGCGGCCACAAAGAGGGGTTGACCTTGTCATCTCATTTGATTTCTCTGCACGTCCCAGCGATTCCAGCCCTCCTTTCAAGGTGAGTAACCTGGGCTACTATAATGCACAGACCTGTACGTAGACTAAATAAATAAATAAATCTGAAATGCTTCCAGAAGTAACCTGCCTACAAAAATAAGAATGTAATGGTACCAGGTCCCTCTCTCTCTTGTCTACAAAGTGCTAGATATTTTCAGGATTAATTGAACAATGTAGAAAATATACTGCAGTAGACTTGGTTATGTTCCGCTGTTATTCATTTTACATTATAGACTCAGTCAAATATTAGATTTTAGGGATGGGTACAAACCACATTTTTGTGGTTTGGTTCATGGCTGAACCACAAACTGATACACTGGTTCGCGAACCAAACTGATTCGTATTGGTTTATGAGCCAAAACCCCTCTGAGCCATTTAAACCCCACTTTCTGCTCCCCATGGCTTTTCGCCAAGAGCAGAAGGCAAAGGTTTCCAAATAGCTGAATGGCTCAGAGCCATTTAAACCATTTGGAAACCCCTGCTTTCTGCTCCTCATGGCTCAGCTGCTCTTCACGAAACACCATGAACTGCATCAAAATTCATGAAAGTTTGTGGCAGTTCTCCAGTTCCCGAACATCGTTTCATGAGCCATGAACTGGCCAAAATTTGTGACAAACTTTAGTTCGCCAGCTGGTTCATGCCCATCCCTATTAGATTTGGCACACTTCTCACAAGAATAACATGTTAGCTGTTTGTACATTAAAGCTTCACTCACTTTACTCTGTGATAGTTAGAAAAATAGTCTGGTTTTCCAGTCGTGTTTTGCCTAAATAGTAAATCTGTGACTTTTTGTGCAAAAGTATAATGAAAATCAAACAGACCTAGTGCAAATATTGGAGTGGTTTCTAGTCACATGTCCTGTTGAATGAAAAGTGAGAGGGATATTCACCAATTTCCTTCCTCCCATAACAAGCCCCCGCTTTGCCCCCACACTGTTCCCAGGGGTCCACTGATTCCTGAGGGCATGGTTTCAGGGGAACAGCAGGCTTTAGTGTGAAGCAGGAAAGTTCACTTACAACAGAGCTGTTCTGCTCATGGCAGATAGGATCCAGGTTCATAGTGTTTCTGATCTTCTAGCTGTGTTGAGAAGATTGGGAGGATTCGTATCCTTTTCCTTTCTTCATCCCCTTTATCATTCAGATTTTCTCTTCCCTTCCACTTTAACTGTGATATAGTGTCCCATCTGCATGATTGTTAACACTAATAATTGTTCACTTAAACCACCATTCGCAACTACGGTTAGGTTTCAAAAGTGTAGTTTGAGCTAATAAAGAAGTACTAACATTGGTGCAGATACAGTAGTGAACCCACATTTAGTTCTGAAAATGAAAGGGAAGGGGCAGTTTGAGTCAAAGATGGAAAAGAAGTGTGTCATCCTATACAACGTTCCTTGTGTACAAGCCATAGTTGAGTAGCATAACTTCTGCACCAGGTCACAATCTATTCAGACAAGGAATGAAACACCAAGGTCCTCTTTCTTCTTTCCCTGTATTATTGGACTCTCCCCAAGTCCTTCCTTGCACACCATATATAGCTAATCCTGTTCAAAAACGGATGAGTGAAAGTGTGGGCGTATAAGTTACGAGCAGTTCTTTTGTTTGTGTCAATGGACTTGTGAACACTCACTGAATTTCCTTTCTAGTGGCGCCTCTTACCACCACTAGAGATAGCATCAGAAAGATCTAAATTAATCGTTTTATGATGATGGCTGACGCAAAGATGACACGAGAGATTCTCAAGGCTAATGCCATAGTACTTCTTCAAATGTGGAAAGAATGTGGAAGTTGGGAAGCAAGCCATAGTCTTCTGTGTAATTTCCAGCACTGCAGAACAACTGCTCTCATGTTGTAGGGGGAGTCTCTCCATACCATATAGACAGTCTCCCTCCTTCAGTGGCCGCTTTTGCAATATCTTGGAAGAGAAATAGATTTTTCACAGCTGCTGTCAAACTAAGCTGTGCAGGCTTTCCCAAAGAGCTCCTGTCTAGCACATTTTTTTAAATCCCGCCCTTCGTCCAAGGAGCTCAGAGCAGCATACGTGTTTCCAGTTCCCCATTTATATCTTCATAACACACACAGACAGACACTGATTGGCCCAAGGTAATTTGGAACCTTTTCCTTTTTGTAAGCCATTTTGGGTCCCCCTCAGGAGGGAAGCAGCCTAAAAATGACTAAATAAGCAAATAGCAGGGTCATCCAGTGAACTTCATGGTTGAGTAAGGATAACAAACTGTGTTTCTGCTGTCATGGTTCAACGCTGTAACTATTGCATCCCACAGGTGTAGCAGATATAGCAGAATTCTATCTTTTCTGGATTACACAATTTGGGTATTTTAAAATTGGCAGTCCATGACCAGTAAAAATTAGTTCAGTTGTAAAGGTAGTTTGGTTTCCTTCTTGTAACCTCCTGAAGTCATTCTCTCCACTGAACTTGGGAACCTGAGAGGAGGATGCCATGTTGTTAACCCAGATGAACCCCCTCCACTTCCTGCAGCTACTTAAGATTCTTGAAGGATGAGGTAGTGTAGCCTCTCCTTCCCAAGGTCAACAGGCTTAGATGAAACGCCCCAGTATTGTTAAAGATGTTCATTGCTGTCTCGTCTCCTCGGGCCTCCCTCTCCTCCCTGATGGCTTGGATTACCAGCTGTGGGATCGCCTGGATGACATCCTCCAAAGTCCGCTGCATTTGCCTTCTCTCTTGATCCGCCACCTCCATCCTCTGGGCCAGTTCCAGTCCCTCCTCCAGGGACACACGGCCACTTCTCACCTTTGTCCTCTCCGTCACCCATGCCCCGGGCAACGGCTTGAATGGGGCCCCAAAGGGGGGGAAAAAACCTGCCGTAGAAAATCCCCAGTTGAATCAGCTGTCTCTCAGTGGCACCCGCCTG